TCCTTTTTGAGCTCATCAAATGGAATAAGTTCCACCCCCTGGTAGAACTGGTGTATCCAATGAATTCCCACTCTTTCCAGGTTTCTGAAATCCCGTGCTGCCATACCTGGGCTAAAGGTTCTGTTACGTAGCACACGTGTGAGGGGGGAGGGGGAGGGGGAGGTTGTGAGACCATATTTCAGCCCATAGGAGTCCCACAATCTAATAGAGTTTAGGATAGCAAGGCAAGTAACTTGGACCATACGCCTATCTTCCCTAGGGACCCATATTATGAATTGGGGTAGATCCGCGCCCAACGATTCTATTTCCACCCATTTTCTCTAATCCAGGGGAGAATGCCACATCACAATTTGTGTCGCTAGGTAATAGAAGAAGAGGTTAGGGAGGCCCAATCCACCTCTCTTTTTTGGGCGGTACAGCACGTGTCTGGATATCCTATGCCTTTTGTTTTTCATCTGTTGTATGGGTGCGAGTTGAGCCCTAGTCAGGGGTATTGCCAGTGCTTGAAATAGGAAAAGAATTCGCGGTAAGACATTGATTTTTACTGAGTGAATCCGCCCTATCCAAGTTAGGGGCTCATCAATCCACTGGTCCATGTTTTAGTGTTTTCCATAAAGGTAGATAATTGCATTTATATAGAGATCCCAGATCCTCAGTGAGTTGGATCCCTAGATACTTTAGGGAGGTCTGCTCTATACGAATATTATGTGCGCTGTGTACCGTTGCAATGTCCGTCTCCGCCATACCTATTAGGAGTGCGCTCTATTTAGACATGTTCGCCTTATACCCTGATATATCCCCTTATTTGGCAAGTATCCCTCTGAGGACAGCCATAGATTCTGCGGGCCTTATGAACGTCAAGAGCACATCATCCACGTAAGCTACAACTACAAAGTCCTGTCCACCCACCTTGACTCCATGTATGTTAGGGTGCTGCCTGATCGCCTGTAGGAGGGGTTCTAGCACCAGGACAAACAGTAGGGGGACAGTGGGCATCCCTGTCTAGTGCCATTATGTATTTGGCACTAGTTGTAGTATTGCTGTACATAGCCTTTACCGCCGTGATATATTCGTTCGGGAAACCTAAGTGTGTCAACAAGGTGAATAGGTATGGCCACTTGACTCTGTCAAACGCCTTTTCGGCATCTATAGAGACAACTAGTGTTGGCTTACTGGTGGTCACTTGTTTCCATATGAGGTTGATGCTTCTGCGCGGGTTTTCGTAGAGCTGCCTCCCCGGTATGAACCCCACTTGATCTGCGTCTATTGGGGACTTTAAATATGGAGTAAGTCTGTCCGCCTGGATCTTAGCTAATATCTTCATGTCCTGGTTTATGAATTATAAGGCCTGTAACACCCAGGCAGCAGAGGATCTTCGTCTGGTTTGGGTAACAATACTATATTTGCTAATGACATGTCAGCACCTGGCACCCCAGTCCCCCTAAAGTCGTTAAATAGTTTGTGCAATTGGGGCATGAGAACATCACGGAAGGTCTTAGGTTTTCCTGATTTTTTTGACTATCGTTTGGGTGGAGGGAATTTTCCAACTGCAAGTTTCTTTTCTTTTCTCAGGAATGGGTCAATGGGTTTTAAGAATAAGAATGCCCATAGTTCCAGACCTACCTAATATTCTATAGAGTAAGGCTGATATGGTTGCCAACCGTGGTTTGAGTTTAGGACAGTTCTACTAGTAGTGGAGGAAGGTGCCTATCTCACCACATTGTTTCCCACATAGGTTGGAGGGTAGTTGTTGCATAACTACTAGTCACTGAGGGATTAAATACCATTTAAATAATATTTTGTAGGTCTGTTTCTTGTGCATCACACAATTTGATGATATGAACAATATTGGTAAATATTGAGGCTGTGGATTCCCATATACCCGCCCAGTCTGTGGGTTCTCTGGGAGGGCATTTTCCAAGGCTGCTGTGTACGGTAGTGAGAGTTTGGTGGGGTGAGTGGCTATGGATTTTTTTGACTATCGTTTGGGTGGAGGGAATTTTCCAGCTGCAAGTTTCTTTTCTTTTCTCAGGAATGGGTCAATGGGTTTTAAGAATAAGAATGCCCATAGTTCCAGACCTACCTAATATTCTATAGAGTAAGGCTGATATGGTTGCCAACCGTGGTTTGAGTTTAGGACAGTTCTACTAGTAGTGGAGGAAGGTGCCTATCTCACCACATTGTTTCCCACATAGGTTGGAGGGTAGTTGTTGCATAACTACTAGCCACTGAGGGGTTAAATACCATTTAAATAATATTTTGTAGGTCTGTTTCTTGTGCATCACACAATTTGATGATATGAACAATATTGGTAAATATTGAGGCTGTGGATTCCCATATATCCGCCCAGTCTGTGGGTTCTCTGGGAGGGCATTTTCCAAGGCTGCTGTGTATGGTAGTGAGAGTTTGGTGGGGTGAGTGGCTATGGACAGTTATAAGTCAGAGATCTGGCCTTTCCTGGTAGGCAATTACAGGCACTCCTGTCAAAGGTGGTCAGTGGGAAGGTTCCTACCTGTTTTGTAACAGGTGAGGATGCTAAGCTATGGAGTTGTAAATAGCGAAAGTGATCGAATGTTGCCAGGGTCGTGAGATTTGGGATTTCTGCAAATTCGATAATTTTGCCATTCAGAAATAAGTGTCCCAGTCTTGCAATGTCTCTGTCTTCATAGTGAGCGTAATGTCTGGGTGTGAGTCCTGGGGGAAATAGTTTATTACGGAGAATGGGAGTTAGGGGAGAGAGGAAGCAGTAGAGGACATATTTGTCCTTTAGCCAGTCCCACAAACCAGTACTCAACCGGTCCCACAGATCAATATTAAACATAGAAAGTTATTGTTAAAAATAGCTTTGTTGCAATTAGTCTTGCACACACATGCATTTCAGCTGATACAAACAAATTAAATGCCTTTTAATCTGCACTGTAACAAATTGATCTATCTGGATATTCACCTGTGAAGTCTTACATAATGGATCTACAGGTACATTCCAGACAGATCAATTTGTTCTGGCACAGATTAAAAGGCATTTGATTCATTCGTACCAGCTGAAACACATTTGTGCACAAATCCAGTAGCTATTAGCAGCTATAGGACTGCAACCAAGTAGAAAGTCTAGATGACTTGTTTTTTTCTAACCTCTGGCTGTTATGGGACTGGCTATAGGGTTGTTGGCAATTGACAAGAGAATTCCAAATCTAGGCCAAAGTAGATCAGGTAAAATAGCCAAGTTAGTAGCAAAATTTGCAATTCCCTCGTCAGTTCTCCTCAGTTCACAGGTTACTGAATAATTCCAAGAATGATTCGTAAGAGCATGCTAACTTCATCATAACAGAAGTATGTCTGAAAATTACTTGACTGGTATAGGTCCATGTTAAGTCAATGAGTTCTTAGTAAAAATAAAAGACAAAGGTCAGATCCATCAAACAGAAACAGAAAACTATAATGGATGTAGATTCTCTGGACACTTAAGATACGGTCCTAAAACTGCCAATTACACAGAGGTGAGCTAAAGTGGGTGCATGGGTTCTCGGTTTGAAGGTGGTTTTGAACTTCCTGTGTTCCTAATGTTTTTCATCACAGCCATTTGGCCAATTAACCTGAGTGCAATGAGAAATGGTATAAGCTACACCAATCCCAATCAGCTTTAAACAGTTCCTCAGATTTCTCCTTCTCTCCCTCTGTCTGCATCTGGCCACCAGGCCATGGACCAGTGACCCAACTGTGGTGCGTGTGGTGTTAGGTCTTTGACCTAACTAAAGACTCATGGCTGTGACAACTCTCTGTTATATGAAATCAAATATAGGTCACAGAAATAGTAAGATGGGAAAAGACTGGTATGCTTAGTGCAAAACACAGGGTAGAGGGAGTGCGACTATTGATGTGTAGCTCAGAAATAGTAAGTTTGCAGGGATTTTAGCCAATCATAAGACTAGTCCTACAACAACACTCCAAACATGCTCATCTACCTGACCTCATAATCTAACACACCTAGACATCAACTTACCTATCTGTATTCCTACACAGCCAACCACCTGTCCATTTAGCCCCACAGAGTCATGTTTTCCTACCCACACATATATCACAAATATAGTCACACTCTTACAACATATACAGTCACATCGCAGTTACGTGCGAACACATCCAGTCACACCCATAACCTACATACTGTATATTACAAAACCACCTGCAGAAGTTGTGCATGCATCTGTAATCATGCAAATCCTTTAAGCAGTATGCCTCGTACACGCAGCTACAGTGTCCATCATTGATTAGGGACTAGATTTTGTGGATTTTTTTTTACTTCACTCAGACAGTGATTAGAGCAAAATATATAAGAGATGTTGTTAAAAGGAGACAGGCTAAATTTGCCATGTCAATAGAGTATTGCTAAAAAAATCATGCATTCACGTTTCATATTTAAAGAGTGTTGCTCGCACCCAGTAATCTAATTTTTAACAATGGTTTACTAAATTTGAAATATCGTCGGGAAAATAATAGCTATGTAGGGCCTCTAGTTTGCGTATACAGTCCATCTTGAAGTCTCTTTTCCTCTCTTTTAATTCCCTCTGTCACTATTTGCTCTTTTTCTTTTTTTTACTATTTAGTCTAAGTACCTTTAAACAATATTTTTAGACCTTTCATCTTCTAGAACAGTGGTTCCCAACACAGTCCTCAAGTACCCCCTTACAGTCTAGGATTTAGGGATTACCCAGTTCTGTCTAAGGTGTTTTTAGAAAGAAAGAAAAAATACTTTAAACACAATCGAGTAATCCCTTAATCCTGAACTGGTAGGGGGTTTTTGAGGACTGGGTTGGGAATCCCTATTCTAGAAGATGCATGCTTATGTCTCAAGGACGTATTATGTTTCCGCCCAATGTGATGATAATGATTATGAATCTTCTATTGCACATTTCCAAATAATTTTAGCAATGGCATAACCATCAAACGTAAGTGTACATTATGATTGATAGGATATTTGGGATTCTGCTGATGTACCTATAATAGAGGACAAAACATAGTGCAAATATTGCTACACACTATAAAACCACTAATAAAAAATATGCACTCACATATTCCAAAGAATATAAGCGTATTTAGGGTGCCTCCCCCTAAGTGTAAAAAGGGGGGGTTGTTCTCCTTTAATTCTCCCTCCTCAAGTGATAGCCAGTGGGGTATCCAGGTCAGCGAGAAGATCCAAGCAAATGCAACCAAAGGAATACTTCAAAGGCGATTTATTCACTTGTAAAATTCAAGAGGTGTATAAAAAATACATAAAAACAATATAAGAAAGAGATGCTGGTCCTACGCGTTTCGTCCTTATACAGAAGGACTTCCTCAGGGACCTCTTTCAGCACAAAATTCAATCACCAAAATTACAGAGAATAAAAAACAGCATCCTGCTTTTTTTATTCTCTGTAATTTTGGTGATTGAATTTTGTGCTGAAAGAGGTCCCTGAGGAAGTCCTTCTGTATAAGGACGAAACGCGTAGGACCAGCATCTCTTTCTTATATTGTTTTTATGTATTTTTTATACACCTCTTGAATTTTACAAGTGAATAAATCGCCTTTGAAGTATTCCTTTGGTTGCATTTGCTTGGATCTTCTCGCTGACCTGGATACCCCACTGGCTATCACTTGAGGCGGGAGAATTAAAGGAGAACAACCCCCCCTTTTTACACTTAGGGGGAGGCACCCTAAATACGCTTATATTCTTTGGAATATGTGAGTGCATATTTTTTATTAGTGGTTTTATAGTGTGTAGCAATATTTGCACTATGTTTTGTCCTCTATTATAGGTGCATCAGCAGAATCCCAAATATCCTATCAATCATACTGTTTTGCTATAAGGTTATCAGCTGGGAAATAACCTTGGGAAGCTGTGTACCTCTCAGTTAAGTTGTTGTGTTTTATCACTTCTTTCACGGGTGTCCGTGTTTTTGTTTGTAAGTGTACATTACCCATCCTAGTATATCAGATCCTTATTAGCTTTAATTAGGAGTGAAATATATTTTGATACATAAATATAATAATATTGGTGAAATTATTATACTAAGATATTTGAAAAAGAAGTTGGAATGAAATTCAACATGATTATTCCAACGATGATTTGAGTGGTAGGCACACGGTGCCTAGAGGGATATTAGCAATACTTCACTGATGATACCTTACAAGGTTGAAATAATCGTCTGGGGTTGTCGGATCTCTTGTGCAGAGGGAACTTGCTGGCATTTCGGATCTGGACTGCTCGTATGGGTGGAACCAGTCTGATATGCTTCAGATATGTTCTCTTTAAAAGCAACAAATTTTAGAGAATGCAAAAGTGTTTAGCATATTGAAGATAAGACATAGACCAACTAATAAAAAGGGGTGAAAAAATATCCTAATCAAAGAATTCAAACAAAAGTTTGGAAAATGGTATGCGAAAAATATGTTTCATCTAAATGAATTGATCAGGAAAAAAACATTACTTAGATCAAATTGGATTTCGTCCACGTGGCGATTCAGGTTGGATGAATTTTGTTTATGCGATTGTTTTGGGAAAAATTATTATGACACTTTATCTGCCAGAATGCTATGTCAGTGCTGTATTCTCAGCCTTTCATCGAGTTTTTTCAACATCCGATTTTACCTTAACACAAAGTAGTCCATATTTATAATTATTAGTGTTGTGACATGGCTGCTGTAGTTTATCCATTTACTAATTATAAAAAAATAATTAAAATCTCTGTGAAAGTTCTTCTGGTGATCAAAGCAAACTCATATGCTTTTTTTTTAGACCATTTCTTGGTACCCTAAAATAAATTCTCATAGTACGTATCATCCGCATGTGTCACTTAACCATCGCCAAATCTGTTTTTGCCAAAAAGAAAAATATAATGAATTAAAATTAAATTCCTGATTATTCAATAATTCTTTGAAAGTACGATCATCTAACAGCTCACTACAAACTGTTTCATCACTCATCCGGTGCAGCTGTGGTAATGACTTGGACTTGTTCCAAGACGATTGTAAAATCCCCCATTGTAACGGCACAAGTTTGGGTCTCTGTTCAGATTCTTTTCCACTAAGGAGTCCAAGGAAGAGAGCTGGCTTGTCATCGGAGAATATGAGCGCACGGTAAGTTGCTGACCTTTAGCCAACAGGAGTTGTAAGTCTCCAGGAGATATATTCCTCTGCTGGCAGACACAAACAGGGAACAGAAGTATCCTTTAGGTCAAGTTTAGCCACAACTCATACATGTGGGCTTTAAACTTGTTTACCAAACTGTTAGGATTCTTGTAAACTTTAGTTGGACACATCTTCACCACACTGTTTTAAGCCTGCATTGAATGCAGGATCGAGGAGAATGTTAGATTATTTGATTTATTCAGGAATGTTTATGAAAAATGCATATTTTACGGCTCTGCTGAGCAAGTTGTGTCGAGAGAACGGTCAGCTCTCTTTGCCTTATTGATGGCATTATAATAACGGTGATATTTCCCAACACCCCTCTCCCCCTGCAAATAAAAATATATGTATATATTTTATTGCTTTTAAATTATAGAGGATTTTAGGGAAGGTTGCTATTATTCAGAAAGTCATTTTTGTTATAAATTATTATGTACATATATTTTTGATTGTGGTGATTTTTCATTCCCCCTAATAACAGTGTACCCTTTGCACTATTCTTCAGATTGAAATATGCTGTAAACATAAGTAACGTTATCTCTGCCACACAGAAAGGATGAGGGAAGTATGGATGCTATTTTGGGAATCACAGCCCCATAATTCCTTTGCTTTCCTGCTCCCTATCACAATTAATTCCATGCAAAATGTGATCACAGGAGTTAGATTTTATTAACACTAAATGGTTTTAGGTGCCTTTGTAGGAGTAATTTGATTCAAAGTTAGGTTAAAATCAAAATTAAGCTTTTTTTCGTGTTTAGCTTTTCTTCTTCAAACAAACACTCCAAGTACTATCAACCCTGCAGTTCGCCCTTCAACTGTAAGTATTTAAATCATTTGCAAAGCATTTTACAACTTTTCTGGGATCTGCCAGGTGCTGGTTACCTCCCCCAGTGACGTAGGGCTTAGCTCATAGGCTGACACCTTTAGCCAATGAACAGGCATGGCTCCTGGCAGGATCTACTGGCTCCATGGAAGGTGGTGACCAGCGCCGGGCACTGGTGGACGCAGGGAAGTTGTCAAACTATTTACAAACTTTTACTACTTACTCTGAAAGGTCATCAAGACACTCCTTGCACCATAGTCACTATAGCGTGTTGTAGTAGTCATGCCACACAGAGTATTTCTTTAATATAAATAAAGTTCACACTGTCACCCTTTACACCATTTTCTTTCTATACATCAGTTTTATCTGTAACATTAATTTTTGTGGAGGCTACCATTCCTTTTAAATCAGACATCTGCTTACCGTAGTTCTCAAAATGCTTAGCCAGCCTTTGGGTTTAGATTTAACGGAGTCTTGATGAATATTGTTAACTATCACCAGATCCAAAAAGTTAAATATGAAATCAATTGGGAGTTCCAAGGGGTGGAACAACTCACATTAAATGGGTGTAACTTCAGGTTTCCTGGAACTGGTGCTCTCCGCTAGAGACCGGCCAGTCCTTACAATATCAAATCCAATCAAACAAAAAAAGGATGCACAAACAGGAGATCCAGGAATTATTACTCCAATACAAAAGTGCCATGCAGAAAGCAAAGGCCAGGTTACAGCCGCAAATCACTTAACGCGTTTCATTTTGAATGGAACACTAACCTGACCATGTCTTTCTGGACAATGGAATCCATTTTTATATTGAAGCAATAATTGCTGGATCTCCTGTTGTGACCATTTCTGCATGCCCTTTTTTTTTTTTTGAGTTTGGATATCACCCACCTTCTTCTTGGAAGCTAGCGTCAAATCCAGCCCATGGTGAGGGAAAGTATTTCTGTAACACAAAGAAGATCGAAATATTTGGAAGCCCATTAGTAGAAAAGAACCGTCTGAAATGAAAAGATTCTTCTACGGAAATGCCTCAATGATACCACTGATAGCGTAAACGCGGGATTGAGTTTCAGCAACATTAGTATCATGAAGAAATAGCTTGACATCCACCAGGGTACAGAATGATGGAGGGTGACTAACACTCTATACACAGATATCGTTTGTAATGGATATCGAGCAGGTGGTAGTAAGTGCAGGGACAGAAACTTGACCCTTGACCTGTGTCCTTCATGAAAACCATTCTAAATGCTTCCTGCTCTAGTGTACACTTCTCAATGGTACGGCAGACCAATTTGTATTTAACATTTATGGGGTCTTTTATGAAGGTCTGATTTTTGCAGAAGTAAATTGAGTGGTGGTGGAATCATTTGTAGTGATTTGGATAAGGATAAGGGAAGTCCAGGGAAGGGTATTTTACTCTTTGAAAATATACATTTTTCCTCTTAGGCAATACATAACTGTATACAAGAAGTGCTTCAGACCTTGGAATGGTCCCAACCCCTAATAATCAATTTAAGTAGGCCAAGAAAAGCCTTGATAAAGGTCATGACTGTGGACCAAAACATTGCAATAAATAGCTGCCTAGCTTTAACATGTTATGCCTGGACCCATTTTTGCCTGCTTGAATTGGAGTGATTTGAGGACTAATTGTCTCAAGACAATCACTAAATTTACCAGAATTTAAAAAAATCAATGTTGTAATTGTGTCCATTAGTCACTAAAAAGTAATGCTGAAATACACTAAACATCAAACAATTCCCAAAACTATTTTGCTTAGCAAAGTGTTTTAACGACAAAAAAAAATAATAATTTTTAAAGATGCTTTTAAGGATCTGCCTTTTTTGCAGCCATTTCTTAATTTCAGTTCTTTTTTTTTTATCTTTCTCTTTGGAGCCCAGTAACAATATGTGATCCATTTGGGGAGATAAATATCCCCTCTAACTAGACCGCATTGCGGAACTCCAGCAGAGCTGTCTCCTTACCAGGCTGTACAATGCACCCTGACCCTGTACTCCCCCAGCGCTGTAGTGTCAGCAGGAAGTGATGTCAGATCACTTCCTCCCAATCCAAGAAGGGATCCACATAGGAGTGATCCTCACTGAGCCCCAGGGCAGTCACCTTCCTGCAGAAAAAGAAGGCTAAAAAATCTAATTATACGAGTATGTGCCTGAGATTGTGTGTATGTACCTAGCAGTGTTTGTGTGTGTGTGTGTGTGTGTGTATGTGTGTTTGGTAGTGTGTATGTCGATTTTACATTAAATATGTTTTCTGTTATCTACACTGAACAAAATTATAAACGCAACACTTTTGTTTTTGCCCCCATTTTTCAGATCTAAGACTTTTTCTACGTACACAAATGACCTTTTTCTCTCAAATATTGTACACACATCTATCTAAATCTAAGGTGTGCCTTAGGCTGGCCACACTAAAAAGCCACCTCAGAGGTGTGGCATATCAAGATGCTGATTAGACAGCATGATTATTGCACAGGTGTGCCTTAGGCTGGCCACAATCAAAGGCCACTCTAAAATGTGTAGTTTTATCACACAGCACAATGCCACAGATGTTGCAAGTTTTGAGGGAGCGTGTGATTGGCATGCTGACTGCAGGAATGTCCACCAGAGCTGTTGCCCATGAATTGAATGTTCATTTCTCTACCATAAGAAGTCTCCAAAGGCGTTTCAGAGAATTTGGCAGTACATCCAACCGGCCTTACAACCGCAGAACACGTGTAACCACACCAGCCCAGGACCTCCACATCCAGCATCTTCACCTCCAAGATCGTCTGAGACCAGCCACTAAGAATTTCTGCACAAACTGTCAAAAACCGTATCAGGGAAGCTCATCTGCAAGAGATATCGTGATGAGATCCTGATGAACATTGTTGTGCCAATCATCCACGACCATCACCTCATGTTGCAGCATGGTAATGCACGGCTCCATGTTGCAAGGATCTGTACACAATTCCTAGAAGCTGAAAACATCCCAGTTCTGGCATGGCCAGCATACTCACCGGACATGTCACCCATTGAGCATGTTTGGAATGCTCTGGATTGTTCCAAGTCCTGCCAATATCCAGCTACTTCGTACAGCCATTGAAGAGGAGTGGACCAACATTCCACAGGCAACAATCTGATCAATTCTATGTGAAGGAGATGTGAGGCAAATGGTGGTCACACCAGATATGGACTGGTTTTTGGACACCTCCCCCGGATCCCTGCAATACAGTAAAACTGCACATTTTAAGAGTGGCCTTTTATTGTGGCCAGCCTAAGGCACGCCGTGCAATAATCACGCTGTCTAATCAGCACCTTGATATACCACACCTGTGAGGAGGATGGATTATCTCGGCAAAGGAGAAGTGCTCACTAACACAGATTTAGACAGATTTGTAAACAATATTTGAGAGATATAGACCTTTTGTGTGTTTATAAATTTGTTCAGTGTATGTAGGACACATTGGGCACATCTGGCATGCTACCTATGCACTATACAAAAAAAAAATCCCACTGTACATCATATATACTTATACAAAAAAATCTTTAATTTAGTTTTAAAAAATGTGCTTCAATAATATGTGTAACCGAGTCATAATTAGCATATATTATCATATTCCTACAATCCAGCAGGTGTATAAGTATACATCAGCTTATAAAAAGTTGCACTCTAACAGCAACAAAACCAATGACCAATGTTTCAGCTGTAAAGCCATTGTCAAGGGTGATCGAGCCTTCACTACCGTGCGTCATATATAGTCCCTAGAAAAAGAAATTGGGCTATATATGATACCCGGTAGTGGATGGGCATTCACCCTTGTTGGATTGTATGAATATGACAATGAATGCTGATTGTGACTAGGTTACACATATCATTATTGAAGCACTTCACTTATGAACCTTATATTTTTTTTATTGGTTAAATTAAATAAAGAGAATGTTCGTGATTTATATGGTCTACAGTGAGACTTCTTTATGTATCTTGCTATATGTTTTTGTAACTATTGGGGGTTGGTTACTCCTAACTTGCACCCTAACTGTTTGTGCTTACCTGCTCCTAACCCTTTTTAATTTTTTACATGACTTGTGCACGCCTGTGTCTGGCAACATATGTATGTTTCTGATAGTATGTGATTGTGCCTGGCTTGTGTCTTTGTGTGTATCATTATCTGTGTGTGTGTGTCTATCTGGTGGTGTGTGTATAGCTATCTGTGTTTATCTTTGAGTGCATAACGTGGGTTTATCCATTAATTGGATACATATTTATGTATCTCTGTGTCTCTGAGTGTGGTGCCTTTACTAGGGTTTGTCTCTGTGAGTGTGTATAATTGGGGGGTGGCAGCAAGTGTGATTTTAATTAACCTCAAGTGTTCTAATAGCAACCATGGGTAACAAATTGTGACACAACACAATACAATAGTGGACGTTAAAATGAACCCACTAAGGTAAGGTTTGGGTTGAGTAGTTTAGGTTGGTATTGCATTTTAGGGTGTGTGTTTTTTTTTAGAGCTTGAGTTGCGTAAGGGTGACTAAGGTTAGAGGGTTTACGTGTTGGAGGGACGTACAGTTAGGTGACCCATTACACCAAAGTGCCATTTAATCCAAAGCTACCGTTAACCTAACTTTCTCTTAACTCTAAAGACCATCTAATACTAACCATAAGCTCTCCTCACCCTAAGTCCCCCTAAGCCTACAGCTACAGTTTTGGGTGCTTTTCTCAGAATGACTTTTCAAACTTGAGTTGAATCGTAAACTATTGATACCATATCCGTCTTTGGCATAGAAGTCAACACCATTAGGGCAAAGTATAAGACTGAGTAATGTGATTCATGCTCGTTCTGGCATTGGGGATATAATCAGAGCCAAATGCTTCGGGTCCTTAGTCATTCTATAATCAAATGTCTCCTATTAATTCCAGCTGCTTTACTCATAGAAATATTGGCTACCTAAAAAATAAAAAAAAGAGATTTACTGGCCTTAAAAATTAGGATATATAGTATATCCTTTGTATAATGGAGGTTTGGGTTTGCTTTGAGTTGGTGCATAGAATTTGGTACATAAATCACTTTCTTATACTGGGTCAGTGGCGGAACTACCAGGGTTGTAACGGTAACAGCCAGTGCCTGCTGTTTCACCTGTTGGGGGGGCACCAGGCTGAGGGTGCTTGCTAATCTGCTATTTAATACCAGAAGAATGCACACCACTTTAAATGCCCCCTTGCAGTGTCAGAACTCTGCAAATGAGTCAGAGCCAGAGGTGCAGACCACCGGACCACTAGTGATACTATGGGGATACAAACTGGACCACCAAAAACTTAGGCCGTCCTAAATTATTTTTTACATTTTATTAAAAAAGTGGGGGGCTGCCACATGCATCCTTCAACAGCCAATGCCCCTCCTCCTCCACATCATAGCAAACCTCACATACATCCCACTCAGTCATACGATACACATATGTAACACACAGTGCCAACGTCACACATGCACAAAAAAATAACCAAAATAGAACAATTCTCCAATACTGTCGTGTTTTCAGTTTACCTATATTGGCTTAAAAGTTTTAAATCACTTTGAATTCCATTTTGATTTCTTGACAAATCACAGTTCAGATAATAGCTGTTAGTCTACAATTAAATGAAATGTATGGAGATGCGTTAGAAGAGGCCAGGGTCAAAGTTAGGCTGCTCTTTCACAATGAACTCACTTGACGTTGCCACCATGACGCCGACACTTACACTGTGGCATCGGTGTGGAAGCATTTCCCAGTAGTGGTGACTTTATAGACACTTTCTTTACCAAATGTAATGACTGGTTTCTTTAAAACGTATTTGCTCAAGAATTTCTAGATATGTATGTATTGTGTATGTCTTCATTTAGAAGCATTTTATTTATTGTGAACTTTCCTGTGGTGATGGTATTTTAGGGTAAGGCTTATAACAAGTTCCAAAGGGAGTACCAGAAATATTTGTTACAAATTAAGAGAGTATACTTTTGCCTCTCCCCCCAGCATTAAACAAAGTCCATGATAGCAAGCTCCAATATAAATCAAATGCTTCTTATTATATAATATATGCTGGTCTGTGAGTGGGGGAAGTTGTGGACACAGTTTGTTCTTTTCTATGTCTCATGCTTTTCGAGATAAGTGACACACGTAAGTCACGCCCATAGAGTTGTGTACACATGGGGGGACACTGTGTTATCTCAACTAGAAGCGGTTTAATTAACAGCCAGAGGTATAAAGGTCCCAGAAAGAAATGCAGGGTCAGAATAACAAGAGGCAGCTCGTGAGATCAGTACCAAAGTACTGCCCATTTGACTGTGACCGCTTGGTGCCAAGCACTATTGGTGCCTGCCTGAGACTACCTGTGCTCTAGAATTCAGGTAAGATATGATCCTTTTTTTTTTAGATTGCGGTGGGCTGGTTGGACAAAATTTGGGAATAATTTTTGTCCAGTAATACTGGAATTATTTTGCAATTTATATGCCATTGTCAACGTCTGCATCTAACATCCGCCGGGGGGGAATAGAGTCAAGTCAACGTCAACCCAGCAGATCAAGTGGGACGAACGACGGTCATTTGGGGAATATGTATTAAGGGGGGCTTTGACACAATGGCCATCACGAGTCAGTGAAAGCCAAGAAAGGCTGACCCAATGAGGGTGTATGGGGGGGGGATTGTGCTAATTACTTTATGATTCCTCTGTCCCGTCAGGGAAAATGGAGCATTGTGACTGTCCGGTGGGCGGAAGTCTGAGCAGTGTGAATGGTAACATGTTACCGAATGCGAGAAAGGAGGCATTGTGTGCTGTCAGAGAAGAGAAAGAGAGTGTGGCAGGAAGAATGAGAGAGTGTTACAAAAAAGAAAAAGGCAGAGGAAATGTGACAGGGGGAGACGAAAACTAGCAGTGTCACCGAGGGAGAAATTCAGATAAATGTACTGACAGAGAGAGCGAGAACAACAGACTGCTATTAGAGGGCCAGGTAGAGCTGCGGGTTAAATAATAAGAGTTAGATAGTAAGCTATAGACTTTATAATTAGAGAGTTAGACAGACAGCTGCAGATTGAATAGAGAGCTGCGGAGTGAATTAGACGGCTGCAGATTGATTAATTAAAAAGCTAGGTTCATTTTATGAGTTTGATAAGATATTTAGGTAGAGCCCTGCATATTGAGTAATTAGAGAGCTAAGTAGACAGCGGCAGTTTGAATAATTAGAGAGCCAGGTAGAGAGGTGTAGACTGTTCCAAGAGTGGAAGTTGAGTGTAAGAGTGTGTTATTATAGACACTGAAATAGGGAATTAAACGTTGTGTGTGTGCAGGCAGACACTCAGTTTTGTGAAGAAACAGATTTTTTTTAACAAGCGAATCAGGTAAACAGTTCTATGAAGAGAGGACTACAGTGCTAGGATTGGAGACACAGAGTGCCTAATGAGAGAGCTTTTAAATAAGGGGATACAGATTCTCTGATGAGAGAGTCAAGTACATAGAGTTTAGTAAAGAGACAGATTAGCACACAAGATACACTGGTAACCAAATGTGATCTGTATGATTAGAGACTTGGCTATGGGTCTTTAAATTACTTTACAAGATTTAGCTAGAGGTCTTCAGATTGTGTGATTAGCCAGTTAGCTAAAGAGCTGTAGATTGCCTGATAAGACAGCTGAAGAGCTGAAGATTGCCTGATTAGACAGCTGAAGAGATGTAGATTGCCTGATTAGACAGTTAGCTAAGGAGCTGAAGGTTGCCTGATTAGACAGTTAGGTATTGAGTTGTATATTGTGTGAATGGAAATTTTAATAGTACCAGCTTGTAATGAGATAGCTGGCTAATGGGCTGTATATTCCTGTATGGAGGGAGCCCTTTATAAATGACCACAGTGTGTCTGTCAGAGTGAAAGGACAGCTATTATGTGTGCTGGTGTGTGAAGGTGAGGGGTGGATCATTATCAAAAAGTTAGACTGTAAGAAAGGGAATGTAGAATTGAGAAATGATATAGGAAGAGAGGACTAATACAAGGACAGGACAAGGCAGCAACTGCTATACAGAGGGCACAGTGACACTGGGAAACACCGAAGAACCAAGAATCGAAGAGACGAAAAGAAGGTAATAATGAAACAATTGGAGGACTATATGGGTAGGACACATGGCTCAGTAGAAGTTGTTATAACTTTCTAATAGTGTGCGATGTTTATGTATTTGCTACGGCGATGAAGGGGATGGTGAAACATATTATGACTTGGATATCGGGGGGATGAAATATTTTTGAGATTATGTAGTAATACATGAAGCTATGGGAATGGTATATCCAGTGTGTATATGGAGATATGGAAGCCAGCTATATGGAGTAATAGATTGTGTTACGGGGTAGATATAATGGAGTAATAGATTGAGTTATGGGGGTCGATATTATGGAGCAATAGATTGAGTTATGGGGTAGATATTATGGAGTAATAGATTGAGTTATGGGGTAGATATTATGGAGTAATAGATTGAGTTATGGCGGTGGATATCATGGAGTAATTGAGTTATGGGGGTCGATATTATGGAGTAATAGATTAAGTTATGGGGGTAGATATTATGGAGTAATAGATTGAGTTATGGCGGTGGATATTATGGAGCAATAGATTGAGTTATGGGGTAGATATTATGGAGTAATAGATTGAGTTATGGGGGTAGATATTATGGAGTAATAGAGTTACGGGGTAGATATTATGGAGCAATAGATTGAGTTATGGGGTAGATATTATGGAGTAATAGATTGAGTTATGGGGTAGATATTATGGAGCAATAGATTGAGTTATGGGGTAGATATTATGGAGTAATAGATTGAGTTATGGGGGTAGATATTATGGAGTAATAGATTGAGTTATGGGGTAGATATTATGGAGTAATAGATTGAGTTATGGGGTAGATATTATGGAGCAATAGATTGAGTTATGGCGGTGGATATTATGGAGTAATTGAGTTATGGGGGTCGATATTATGGAGTAATAGATTAAGTTATGGGGGTAGATATTATGGAGTAATAGATTGAGTTATGGCGGTGGATATTATGGAGCAATAGATTGAGTTATGGGGTAGATATTATGGAACTCCTGATGTTATGGACTACATCTCCCATATTGCTTTGCCAGCATTATGTCTGTAAGAGCATTATGGGAGATGAAGTCCATAACATCTGGAGTGCTAACAGTTGGGGGTCAGGATTATAGGAGGGGTTATATATAGGGAGAGAATATATGGAGTATCAGGAGTTATGGCGAGATGTTACATGGAGTACATCGAGATCGATTACATTTGCCCAATCTAAGACTTCTCATAGCAAAGCATTGCAGAAATAAAATACAGGCATGGCAGTCGTTATAATCTGCCAATCCAAATCTTCTCTGTCGTCATGGAGACACATTGGGAGAACACCCAATATCCACTATCTGTATACCTTGCATGCTGACGCTGTACATAAATTATTTTCAGCTGGTAATTTTAAAAAAAAAGATTTTTATGCGAAGCCCCTAGTGGCTGTCTGAAGTAAATCACTGGTGGTGTAGGGGATGAAATGAGTCCCTTTAAATAACTGATATTATCACTGGAGAGTCTTTTCGTAAGTTTAGTCGTTCGCTCCCCACCTTAATAATAATGCGTCACCTTAATAATAATGCGTCATATTATCACTCTCTCCCCCCTCATTTTTTGGTGTGATCCGTATGATTTTCAGTTTATTGTTAATTACTCAGTTGCAATATTTTAGATAAATATTTCAAGAGAAAAAAAATTGTTGATATTATTAATTTTATATCGAACAGAACATTACTCCAAAATTCATGAATTGACAACATTTACTGGCAAACAGCACTGATACGTAATTGTTATAGAATGGAATATTGTAAATGATACTGTAAGATCATAAGAAGTAACAGTGGAGATAATCTGACTTATTCACTAAAGTGAGAATTCAAAGTTAATTTCATATTTCAGGCAAAAATAGTTGACCTGGATGCATTCTATAAATCAGCTATACTTTGGGTTTGGCTACTCTGGACTTACATTTTAAATTCACTTTAGTATACTGTCAGTGTCTTTATATCAGGTCTACCCACTTTCTCATTTTTTGCATTTACCAGTGACATTTTACCCAGAATTAGTAGCAAAAAACTTGTGTTTCTTCATTCCTTGGTCACTAAAAGACAAGGGGAGGGGTTGCAGAGATAGATGTTCATTATGGGACAGGTTGGTCACTCAGTAGTAAAGCATGTCTCCTGTGGATCGGACGGTAAGGGATGTCAAGAACAGTAGAGGCTGAATATTAGGTGTATGAAGTGGAGGGCAGTGGAGGCTGTGTTGGATATCGGAGTGAAGGTAAGTGGAGGCTGTCTTAGATATGGGGGTGAAGGTTAGTGGAGGCTGTATGTTACATATGAGGGTGAAGGTTAGTGGAGGCTGTATGTTAAATATGGGGGTGAAGGTTAGTGGAGGCTGTATGTTTCATATGGGGTGAAAGTTAGTTGAGGCTGTGTGTTACATATCGGGGTGAAGGTTAGTGGAGGCTGTATGTTACATATGGGGTGAAGGTTAGTGGAGGCTGTGTGTTACATATGGGGTGAAGGTTAGTGGAGGCTGTGTGTTACATATGGGGTGAAGGTTAGTTGAGGCTGTGTGTTACATTTCGGGGTGAAGGTTAGTGGAGGCTGTATGTTAAATATGGGATGAAGGTTAGTTGAGGCTGTGTGTTACATATTGGGGTGAAGGTTAGTTGAGGCTGTCTGTTAGATATGGGGTGAAGGTTAGTCGAGGCTGTATGTTAGATATGGGGGTGTAGTTTAGTGGAGGCTGTGTGATCGATATCGGGGTGAAGGTTAGTGGAGGCTGTGTGTTAGATATGGGGTGAAGGTTAGTGGAGGCTGTATGTTAGATATGGGGGTGAAGGTTAGTGGAGGCTGGTGTTCGATATCGGGGTGAAGGTTAGTGGAGGCTGTATGTTAGATATGGGGGTGAAGGTTAGTGGAGGCTGTGTTAGATATGAGGGTGAAGGTTAGTGGAGGCTGTGTGTTAGATACCGGGGTGAAAGATAGTGGAGACTGTGTGTTCGAAATTGGGGTGAAGGTTAGTGGAGGCTGTGTGTTAGATATGGGGTGAAGGTTAGTGGAGGCTGTATGTTACATATGGGGGTGAAGGTTAGTGGAGGCTGTATGTTACATATGGGGTGAAGGTTAGTGGAGGCTGTGTGTTAGATATGGGGGTGAAGGTTAGTGGAGGCTGTATGTTAGATATGGGGGTGAAGGTTAGTGGAGGCTGTGTGTTAGATATGGGGTGAAGGTTAGTGGAGGCTGTATGTTACATATGGGGTGAAGGTTAGTGGAGGCTGTGTGTTACATATGGGGTGAAGGTTAGTTGAGGCTGTGTCTTACATTTCGGGGTGAAGGTTAGTGGAGGCTGTATGTTAAATATGGGGTGAAGGTTAGTGGAGGCTGTGTGTTCGATATCGGGGTGAAGGTTAGTGGAGGCTGTGTGTTAGATATCGGGGTGAAGGTTAGTGGAGGCTGTATGTTAGATATGGGGTGAAGGTTAGTGGAGGCTGTGTGTTCGATATCAGGGTGAAGGTTAGTGGAGGCTGTATGTTAGCTATGGGGGTGAAGGTTAGTGGAGGCTATGTGTTCGATATCGGGGTGAAGGTTAGTGGAGGCTGTATGTTAGATATGGGGGTGAAGGTTAGTCGAGGCTGTGTGTTAGATACCGGGGTGAAAGTTAGTGGAGACTGTGTGTTCGAAATTGGGGTGAAGGTTAGTGGAGGCTGTGTGTTAGATATGGGGTGAAGGTTAGTGGAGGCTGTATGTTACATATGGGGGTGAAAGTTAGTTGAGGCTGTGTGTTACATATCGGGGTGAAGGTTAGTGGAGGCTGTCTGTTAGATATGGGGTGAAGGTTATTCGAGGCTGTATGTTAGATATGGGGGTCTAGTTTAGTGGAGGCTGTGTGTTCAATATCGGGGTGAAGGTTAGTGGAGGCTGTATGTTAGATATGGGGGTGAAGGTTAGTGGAGGCTGTGTATTAGATATGGGGTGAAGGTTAGTGGAGGCTGTATGTTAGATATGGGGGTGAAGGTTAGTGGAGGCTGTATGTTAGATATGGGGGTGTAGTTTGGTGGAGGCTGTGTGTTCGATATCGAGGTGAAGGTTAGTGGAGGCTGTGTGTTAGATATGGGGTGAATGTTAGTAGAGGCTGTATGTTAGATATGGGGGTGAAGGTTAGTGGAGGCTGTGTATTAGATATGGGGTGAAGGTAAGTGAAGGCTGTATGTTAGATATGGGGGTGAAGGTTAGTGGAGGCTGTATGTTAGATATGGGGCTGAAGGTTAGTGGAGGCTGTGTGTTGTATATCGGGGTGAAGGTTAGTGGAGGCTGTGTTAGATATGAGGGTGAAGGTTAGTGGAGGCTGTGTGTTAGATATGAGGGTGAAGGTTAGTGGAGGCTGTGTGTTAGATATGGGGTGAAGGTTAGTGGAGGCTGTGTGTTACATATCGGGGTGAAGGTTAGTGGAGGCTATGTGTTAGATATAGGGTGAAGGTTAGTGGAGGCTGTGTGTTAGATATGGGGTGAAGGTTAGTGGAGGCTGTGTGTTATGAGGGTGTAGGTTAGTGGAGGCTGTGTGTTAGATATGGGGTGAAGGTTAGTTGAGGCTGTGTGTTACATATCGGGGTGAAGGTTAGTAGAGGCTGTATGTTAGATATGGGGTGAAGGTTAGTGGAGGCGGTGTGTTCGATATCGGGATGAAGGTTAGTAGAGGCTGTATGTTAGATATGGGGTGAAGGTTAGTGGAGGCTGTGTTAGATATGAGGGTGAAGGTTAGTGGAGGATGTGTGTTAGATATCGGGGTGAAGGCTAGTGGAGGATGTGTGTGACATATCGGGGTGAAGGTTAGTGGAGGCTGTGTGATAGATATAGGGGTGAAGGTTAGTGGAGGCTGTGTGTTAGATATCAGGGTGAAGGTTAGTGGAGGCTGTGTGTTAGATATGGGGGTGAAGGTTAGTGGAGGCTGTGTGTTAGATATGGGGGTGAAGGTTAGTGGAGGCTGTGTGTTAGATATGAGGGTGAAGGTTAGTGGAGGCTGTGTGTTAGATATGGGGGTGAAGGTTAGTGGAGGCTGTGTATTAGATATGGGGTGAAGGTTAGTGGAGGCTGTGTGTTAGATATGGGGGTGAAGGTTAGTGGAGTCTGTGTGTTAGATATGAGGGTGAAGGTTAGTGGAGGCTGTGTGTTAGCTATCGGGGTGAAGGTTAGTGGAGGCTGTATGTTAGATATGGGGGTGAAGGTTAGTGGAGGCTGGGTGTTAGATATGGGGGTGAAGGTTAGTGGAGGCTGTGTGTTAGATATGAGGGTGAGGGTTAGTGGAGGCTGTATGTTAGATATGGGGGTGAAGGTTAGTGGAGGCTGTGTGTTAGATATATTGGAGTGAAGGACTGTTTGCACTGTAGAACACACATTACATACAGACTACATATTCTGCATTACATGATGAGTGCAAGGCATAGAAGTTTCAGTTTTAGATTAATGGGGTGAACATTTAAACATCTGTATATTCAATATGTAAAGCATGGGAGCTGGGTTTGGGTATTTGCTATTGGACCTGGGTCGCTGGGTTTGTGCAGAGATTATATATTGTAAACCTGTGAGCTATATTCAGATCCAACTTCATACCTTCTACATAGAACTATCCAACGTCTTGTATCGATTATTAGGGAGGAAGCCGTGCTGTGTACGCCAGTGGTGTGTTTATGGAATCTGGGTGTGTTAGATTATGACATTAAATGCCACAGTTTCTGTGCGCGCCTTTTCTGAACTGTAAATGTAATGTGGCCTAGGGGTTTATTCACTAAACAGTAAATTTAAAATCCAAAAGTTCACGATAAAAAAACCAAAGTGACCAAAAAACAAACTGGGATTATCGCTGTATCGGAGATTTTAGCCAGCTTGCCCAAATTTGTCACTTACTGATATACTATAATTCAACGTTTGGTATGTGTAAGGGATCGAACACGTGCAGGATTATTTACTAAGTGAGAATTGAAAGTGAAATTTAAATATTCCAAAAATTCAAATATGAATTAAAAAAATTCTGGACATCGGCTATGGCTTGACCTTAAATTTGAAATTCACTTTTTGAATTTACTTTGAATTCTCACTTTAGTGAATAACCAGTCCGTGGATCAAAAAGCAAGTTGTTTTGTCTTCAGTCCCAAACATTTGTAATATAGGATATAACACACTTACAGTTTAGTGAATTTGATAAATTAACACGTCAGGAGTTTTTCACGTAAGTGTGAATTGTAAGGATTTCAAAATTATTTTTTAATTCTGACAATTCACAATTGATCAAAAAAAGGAAATTTTATGAAAATATTAGTTCTAGTTGCACCGCTTCATCATGCTGTGGAACAGTACAGGAAAAGTGCTATCATTGTGTACATACAGCTCAAATACTGTAGGAAGCTCTGTACAAATCTGTACGAACACAGTATTACATTATATTCAATATAAAATATAATAGTCACAGTGTATCATTACGTTTTCTTCGATCTTTGAAGCGAGGAGCTTGTAGAACAGATTAATTATATTAAATTACTATATAGTCTCTTATCACATGATAAATAAGTACTATGTGCACAGACTGTCTCGGGACAAGAATATAATTTTGCCTCTTTATAAATCACCGGTAAGACCCCATATTGAATATGCTGTGCAATTTTGGGCACCTGTTCTAAAAAAGGATATTATGGCACTAGAAAAAGTGCAGAGGCGGGCTACAAGATTAATAAGAAGAATGGAATATTTTAGCTATGAAGAAAGGTTAACAAATTTAAACCTCTTTTAGAAAAACGTTGCCTCAGAGAGGATATGATAACGATATATAAATATATCCAGGACCAATACAAACCATTGTGTGGAGACCTATTCACAAATAGGCTATATATAGGACATGAGATCATGCGTTTAGATTGGAAGAAAGAAGATTTCGTCTAAGGCAAAGGAAAGGTTTTTTTTTACCGTAAGAACAATCAGGATGTGGAATTCTCTGCCTGAGGAAGTGGTTTTATCAGAGTCCATACAGATGTTCAAAGGGCTACTAGATGCATACTTGCAAGAACAGAATATTCAAGGATATAATCTTTCAATGTAGGGTAATAACTGCTTGATCTAAGGATAAATCTGACTGCCATTCTGGGGTCAAGAAGGAATTTTTTTCCTAGCTTGTTGCAAAATTGTGCTTCAAACTGGTTTTTTTGCCTTCTTTTGGATCAACAGCAAAAAACAAATGTGAGGTAGGCTGAACTTGATGGACGCAAGTCTCTTTTCAGCTATGTAACTATGTAACTATGTAACTAGGATGGCTGGCTGAACATTGTCTAAAACCTCTGATGGTTATGGTTTTGCTAGCGTTGTTGTATAATTAAAAATTTGTAGGTTACACTATAGCGAAAATAAATAAAAGACTCTGTATGGCGATCCAGGACAGTTAGCAGGTACTATGCTGTAGAATATGATTATAATATGGATATTATGGTATTATTATTTTCATTTTATCACTTCCTGAGAATAAGTGGTCATAAATAGCAGTTTACGAAATAATTTTGATAGAAGAGCTTTTATCGCCTGTGCTGGTCCCAGTGATGAAGGTTACGGCATTGCACTGTGATTACAAGGTACAATGGTTCAGCTTATTAAAATAGACAATTTCACACACTCATTCATACACTCCCGCCATTGTTAATCTTCAAAGTATGTAGTTATTTTCCTTCTGCTTCGGAATGTCAACATCACTGTGATTGGTTCTATTCCGGACTGTCAATGACATCATCAGCACAGCCAAACAGCTGCTTGCGTTATTTTAATCAGCACTGTGCTAGGCAAGGGTGATGTTAAGAGATCTCTTGTAGGGACTTTATATCAATATAATTGCAGCACTCCTAAGCTGAGGTGGACTGTAAAAGGATGTTTAAAGTGTGACTTCAAGCACTATGACCACTTCAGTGATTTGAAGTGGTTATGGTGTCTGGAGTCCGTATGTGCAGCTTTTTTTACTATAAAACTCTGCACATACAGAGTTTAACCCCTCTGCTGACTCCACCAGTATCATTGAGGCCTCGTTAGTCAGCTCGGAACAAGAGTTCCAGGCTTGCCAATATCAATTCTATGCATATTGGACGTCTGACATCAGCAGACACAGCGTGTTGGCGACACAAGTCCAATGACGGAACAGCGCACTCCGTTCCCACTATGTCCTCTTCTCGGCCCATCCTCCGCATACATTCCTTCCCCTTTAGCAAGGGAGAGTGTCGTTAGCAGAGAAGGATCGGGCTGGGGGGGAGAACTTGGTCTCAGTACTGAAATAGAGGTATTGGCATCATTTATTTTAACTATTTGTTTAGCCAAGGGTTACTGCAACCAAAACAAGTGTTTTCTTAGCTTTGTTGAAAGCTGTGATTTCTCAGAGCCTGTATAGTTAGGCTTGGTCTATATTTTGCCAATGATAGCCACCTTTAGGTTCCCAAAATATCTGGGGCTTGAGTCCAAAGCACATATAGAAGACTTCTCTCCTGAAGCCCCAACTTCTCTCCCCAGCATCTTGCTTTAATTGTACATGTCCTACATCTTGATTCCTTACACTCCGCTCCAGACAGCACGTATGTAGGGGCTACTTAATTATTACCCCCAGATTAATGTTACCATTTCCCCTTACCCCTCTTTCCCCCTCCTCATCCCATATCTTCATCTCCCTCACCTTACCCCAATGTTACCCTCTCCTCACCCCATTCCTGTCCTTCTTCATATCATTAGCCCTCCCTGTCCATCCTCATGTTGTTGATCCTCATCACTCACTGACCTTTGCAATATCATGGGCCTTCTCTTTCTTTTTTCCATTTTTTGCTGTTTTTTTTCTTTTCAAAAGAACACTAAAGTGTTAGTCCCTGTCTCTAGTTATATAGGGGTGTCCCCCCCCAGTCACCCTTTTCCAGTGCCAGGGCTCCTTCGGCATAGCTTACCTCTCCACCTTCTGCAACATCATAGATGAGGCATGGCCTCCATTGTGGTGATCAAATCCAATTCTTCTCATAGAGGAGCATTGATGTGCATGCGCAGTGAGCACCCCACGCTCATCAAAGCTTCCCTACAGGAAAGCATTGAATCAGTGATCATCTTGTGCCATTACAAAGAGAACCTAGGACATTTGCATATCAGACTGATCCCACCAAAAATGGTGGTCAAGATCTGAAATGCATGAGAGATACAGCAACCCCAGATGATTTTTTTTCAACTATTTTAGGCTTTGTCATTGAGGTATAACCGAGACCACTCTAGGCACTGTGAGCAAGGGGTCCTTGTTTGGATTACCCTGTGAAGCACCCTGTTTTATTTCTCTCCCCAAGTTAAAGGATAATCCAAACGTGGACCCCTTGCTCACGGTACCGAGATGGGTATCGGCTATACCTAACTGACAAGGTCGATAACAACTCTTGGAGGTTGCTTTATCTCTTGTGCAGAGAGAGCTTGCCTGTATTTCGGATCTGGACCACCATTTTGGGTGGGATCATTCGTAATGGCACAAGATAAGCTAAAACCAGCTTGAGATCTGAGCAGGGACCCACCGAAGGGCAAACTACTTGATCTGTTGTCTGTTCTCAGTAATCTCTTGCGTCCTGATTTTTTTTTTATCACATCCACAGTCACGCCATAACAACATAAAGGAGCACTGATCAGTGCTGAATAAACTAGTAACCAGTGTAGATGTATTACAATTAAATTGTATCTATATTCCAGCCACAGCAGTTAATATGTGATTATAAATTGTGCTTCTTTACTAGACCATTCTGACAAAGCACAATAAAAAAAGATAAGAATCTTTGCAAATACATTTCATAATATGCTGACTGCGCGTTTCACAGCCTAACAGCTGATCAGACGGTTAGCATCAGCATGTGTCTCAGCCAATCAGCCGCATGCAGCAAGGCAGTGCGTGATGGGGTGACGGACCCTCTTTTTTACATTTAATCAAAACAGAGGAACTAGTTAGGGATCCCCTCGAAAAATTCTGCATAGGGAGGTAGCATGCATGCTTTAGTACATAACATATAATTTTAGTCAGTTTTGCTCCTTTAACCCTTATGGTGATTTTTCCTTGTTTTTGAGAAGTTGCAAAACTTTGCATTTTTTTGGTTCTACTTTTATTTCGTACGTTCTTATCAAGTGTACCCACACAGATTATAAATTGTTTTTTAAAGCACTTTTAAATGATACACGTACCTGGATTATGTTGGAATGTGACAGTTGGGAGTATTCAGTACAGCATAGGGGTATAAAGGGTGGCGTGGCATTTTACGTGTAAGAAGCATTTGTATGGTTTGTTGAGATGAATCAATGATTTTCTATATGTTATCAGCATGATGACGAATGTGTGTTTGCAAGAGTGTTATGCAGTATTGAGAAAATGACTCGGTTTTTAGAGTGAGACAATGACATTGCATTCTAAAGGAAAATCAATGGCGAATTTTTGAGAGAAATAACTTCAAAAGAAAAAGTGAGGGAAAGGTGGCGGGAGGAAGAAAGGGTAAGGCTCGGAGGAAAGAGTAAGGGGCCGGGGACATTTGGATAGTTCTTTCTCCTTTTCTAACTTTATTTCATGTCCTTTAAGTACTTCCTGATTATACATATAAACTAAGTGGAAGGGGAATTGTGCCATTGTGATCATATGTAGATAGACAAAAATAGTTGTCCTTTCTGATAATGCCCTCCCCAAAAACACTGTTATATGTACTATTTATTTTACACCAATTTCTTTTTCTCCCCAGACCTGAGGCAATGAATTGGGCAGGCTTCTACGCGATCCTAAGTGGAGTGAATCGTCACTCCACGGGCATCGGACGGATATGGTTGTCTGTGGTGTTCATCTTCCGTATCATGGTCCTTGTGGTGGCAGCAGAAAGTGTATGGGGGGATGAGAAGTCTGCGTTTACTTGCAACACACAACAGCCAGGTTGTAACAGTGTGTGCTATGACCACTTTTTCCCCATCTCACATATCCGTTTGTGGGCTCTTCAACTCATTATTGTGGCCACGCCTGCCCTCTTGGTAGCCATGCATGTGGCACACCAGCAACACCAGGAGAAGAGGCTGCTACGCTTGACCGGACATGGAGACCCTAGCGAATTGGCGGAGGTGAAGAAACACAAGATCAGAATCTCCGGTACTCTGTGGTGGACCTACACAATAAGTGTGATCTTCAGGATCGTATTTGAGGCAGTCTTTATGTATATATTCTACCTCATCTACCCTGGTTATAACATGATACGTCTTGTTAAGTGCGATGCCTATCCATGCCCCAACACTGTGGACTGTTTCGTGTCTCGTCCCACCGAGAAAACCATCTTTACGGTCTTCATGCTTGCTGCCTCCGGGGTATGTATCATTCTGAACGTGGCCGAAGTAATATTTCTCATTGGAAAGGCTTGTTCTCGAAGAGGTCGTAGTCAGGATAGCTCCTATGGAGATCAAGAGCAACGGCAAAATGAGATGAACACTCTGCTCAAAGGAGGTAGTCTTATCAAACGGGCGCCGGGGAGCCAGGAGAAACTGGAACACTGCTCTACATCCTAGAGATTTGTCTTTGGCCTCACCTCTGGACAAAAAAGACAGAGACAAGCTGACATCACTATTTATGTTACAACGGCCTAAACCACACATGGGATTGTTTACAAACTTCATACACGGATAGAGATAGAATAAAGCAAGGAAGCAAGGAGACAAGCAAAACTGAACAAGTGAAAGACTAATTTAAGTCTTGAATGTCTGGTCAAGACAAGCCAGTGATTGTGCATTAATAGTCGTTGTGGGCAAATGCCCAAAAGTATCTTTACCACGTTTGGCTGTTCTGACATTCCATTGCCATGTTGATTGCACATCCACTGATAGTGGTCTACTCTGCACCAGTGCCTCACACAGTATTCTTCAATAACTATGGGGAGTGGTGCTTTTCACAAAAGGGCGTTTTTGAGGGGGGTGGGGGGTTGTGTTTGGGTTTATACTGCCAAAAATTGAGGTTGTTTTAATATTCACATGAATTGTTATTATTATAATAAAACTGAGCATAAAACATTAAATGTCTTCTTGTGGCTACCTTGATATAATAGTCTGTGTCTTTCTCAGTAAAAAGAGAGCTAGTATGTTCTGGGAGCAAACAAGAGTGCAAATCAGTATTAGTAAAAGAACACTCTGGGCACCATAACAACCTCATCAAAATTAAGTTGTTATGGTGCTGTTAGATGCCTGGCACTGAATGGTTTAATCTTAAAGTCTGCTCTCCATCACCATTTCACTCTGCTCACCCCTCTTCCCCCTCCCCCCCTCTCCACCAACATCCGCTTTCTGAAAATCTCAATAGCACCCCATTCATAAAAAAAACAGCTGGCGAAACATGCATATTTTTCTAAAGCCATTTTGTGAATGGGGAGCTGGTGACTGTCTTTTTGACGATTTTGGAGGTGGCAGAGGGAGAGAAGACTTTGAGATTAAAACGTTTTTGAACTCAACACCTAAAAGGTAAGCCAGCACCTGACACCATAACAACTTCCAATTTTGATTTGTAATTTTTACATTTAGATCTGTGCATGAGAAGTTTAATTCCTGGAAGGGTCAGTTTAGTCATTTACCTGTCAGGGGAAGAAAAATAAGTACCATTATTTGGGTAAAGAATATTAAATATGGAAGGGCAGAGAATAAAAATGGAAGGGCTCGGTTAAAGGGGCCCCAATAAATTTACATTCTACACAGCACAATACCTGGAGCTTCCCAAAGTTTAAAAGAGAGAATTACCTCCACCCCACCTCACATGGGATGAGGGAATGAGAAAATATCTAAGGCTCCCTGATGGTTATTAGAAACACCTAATGCTATTAATGGGGGTTTGTGGCCACGCAACTGAAAGCCACCCATCTCACCATCCAAGAGGTAAATGAGTTAGGAGGGAAGTGGCATATCATGGGCACGAACCCAGTCTTGCACAGAATCTGGACCCTTAGTTAACTTACTGACACACAAGGTAGAAGAATAGAAATGACCATCACTATCGTGTTGTAAAAGAAGTCAGAGTGGTGGACATATTGATTTGTTTAATGATAACTCTGGCATCGATTTACTTCTTTTGGATAGGCTTTCAAACAATCTCAATCTGTAAGAAAAACGTTTAAAATAATAAATCTACAGAAATTCCTGTAGACCTTAATGGTGACTTCTGCAGATTAATTATTCGTAACGTTTTCCTAACAGATTGTGATCATTTAAAAAGTTTATAAAATAATTAAATCAAGACCTCTGTGTGTACTTCTATATTTATATTTGGACTCACATTTATGCTTGCTTATTTTACAATTTGTAATTATTTTGTGCATAGTGGAAGAGAAATACAATGAAAACATATTGAAATATAAATAGCTTCTCTTTTAAGACTTTCTTTTGCCTGTTTTTTTTTTCCTCTTCTCAATCCACGCACCTTCTGCATCATTGACCTATGTGGTTCTTTTATTCGCGAACACATTCCTGCTTCCACCCTCGTTCCATGACTGTTCTTCTCCTACACAAACCATGTGACGAAACACATTTTAATTCTTCATCGTTGTACATTCTCCTGCATTCCATAAACCCACAAATGTCACCTCGTTGCACAACACTCTTTGTAACTATTTCACCTATAGTAATATATTTCCACTGTTTGTATATCTCTATTTCACATCCTCTCGTTTGTCAATGTTCCCCATTGTCAGTGCTTATAATCATTCGGCTATCCAGACATTGTGGACTATATCTCCCCTGATGTTTTGCCAGCATTATGGCTGTAAGAGCAAAGAGCAATTATGGGAGATGTAGTCCACAATAACTGGAGTGACAAAGGTTGCCTACCCCTGGAGCCTCAGATCAAGGAGGGGGAGCGGGGGGAATCTGCTACAGATACTGCCTATTGTTACATTTAAAGAACCAGAGGTACTGGCCAGGACACCCATATGAAAAGCCCTGGGAAGAACGTCTATGGGTTCCCGCACAACGTGCTTTCATATATATGGATAAATGCTGTCCTTCTGTATATAGACCTCATATGGTGCCAGAGGAAATATAAATTAATCACAGCAAGAACCCAGTAGGAACTACTGTGATAAATTGTGAATACTACTCTTACAGGGTTATTCACTTATGTGAGAATTGACTGGAATGCAAGTGAATTTTAAATTAGGGCCAAAATAGCAAAATGTAAAAATTCCTAGAGTCAACTATGATTCCATTTCGGACACTTCAGTCACCAGAACAACTACAGCTTAACGTAGTTGTTCTGGTGAGTACAGTCAGTGTCTGCAGGCCTTCATAGAAAAGGCAGTGTTTGCATTGCAGTCTAAGGACACCTCTAGTGGCCGTCACTCAGACGCTCTACATGAAGACGCTGAACATTCCATATAGAGATGCATTGTTTAAATGCATCTCTATGAGGAGATGTTGATTGGCCAGCATGGTGTTTGACTCCGACTCCCCGCCCCACCTCCTTGGCAGCGATCATAAGAATTAACAATCTCAGCCAATCCAATGATTTTCCATAGGAAAGCATTGGCTTAGCTGAGATCAGCGCAGACGGAGCCTGTGCCGGTGGACCCGCATAACGTTTATTAACTTTATAAGGCAGTAAGGGGGCACATGGGCCCAAATGGTGATTTTAACACTATAGGGTCAGGAATACACGTTTGTATTCCTGACCCTATAGTGTGCCTTAAAATTTACTTTGACCTCCAGGCATTTTTTACTTTAGCAAACAAATAAAACATGTTTTCGGAGATCAATGCTTCATGCGGATGATAGGTATTGCATGAAAAGTGCTGTCCTATCGTGCTTAGCATTAACGTTCTGATTTTCATCTTACAGTATATGAATTCTACATACTGCAGGGCTGAGTAGTTTTTCACACCTTCAGGATTATTTACTAATGTGAGAATTTAACGTGAATCCCAACGTGAAGTCGGCTATGCTCCGATTTGGCTACTCTGGCCTTACATTTGAAATTCACGTAGAATTCTCCCTTTAGTCTATAAACCAGCTTGTCTCTCAGCTGATAGATGCCCAGGAAAACATGGTGAGTTTGGCAGTTCCCAGCTCGACATACTATAAGGGCAGCAGGAATTGTGTGCCCGCGAAAGCTTTATCCCAATAATATTATGGTTTTGTACTTTATATACCAGCAGGTTTATTTGGTATTGCTTTGGTCACTGCTGCCTATATTACACATATTTTATGGTAACACAAACGGCAAGTTAATCACCAAAGGGGTCCAGTATATATCTCTGCTGTATGTATACATTTTTCGAATTGGAAAATTTATCAATTAACTTTGAATTCACCATTATTCTCATTTAGTAAATAACTACTGGTGTCTTTTGTGTTGTCTGCATTCATTTCTACAAAGAGTCTAACAGCCAGAGGAAGGGTTCCCTAACACTAACTCACAATGCAACTAGTCATAGAGAGAGTTACGCTAGTGGAGGCCCATTGTGACTCATAGCATAATTCCACACCTCCCAAGTATCCCTATTTATTAGGGACAGTCCCTATTTTGGGCCCAAATCCATCTTGTCCTAATGTCCCTCTTTGTCCTTCTAGGCCAATGATGGCGAACATTTTTGAGCCTGAGTGCCCAAACTGCAATACAAACCAACACGGTAATTATACCTGAATACTGAGGTTTAAGTTTAGAAAAAAAACCTCGTACAGTTGTCCGAACTAATGAACATCTTTTGTTTTAACATAACACAACAACAGAGTTAATTGATACAAACGTTTTTTTATTGAACATTAACTGGCTACTTAGACACACACATACTTACAGATACACACTGACACTGACACACACACACACATAGATCCACACACATGTTCACAGATGCACAGACACTCACAGATACACTGACATTGGCACACATACATAGATCCACACACATACTCACAGATACACAGACACTCACATATACACACTGACACTCACAGATACACAGGCACACACACATAGATCCACACACATACAGATACACAGACACTCACATATACACACTGACATTCACAGATACACACACACACTGACACACACGTACTCACAGATACACACACTCACATATACTCACTGACACACACATACACATACCTAAACATACACATGGACAAACACAAAAATTGCAATTTACATTTGTTAACCATCCTTTGCTTCCATACCTTTTATTTGCAGGGAGGTTAATTCCTGGGACTGGCTGGTGATAATGGGAGTCTGAAGGAGAAGCTGCAGAGCTTTCTCTCCTGCCTCCTCCTCCTCTCTTAGTTGCTTCTTCAGTGTCCTGTCAGCCCGGGTCTGTATGCTTCCTCCCAGCACTCTCTGCAACTTTAAAGGGGCCCGATCTGCCAAAGAGCTGCAGCACCCGACTGGCACCTTTACTACAGTGTCCCGGAATGAGGGTGCCCGGGACCCAGGATAGACTCTTAAAATGCGGGACTGTCTCCGGAGATCCGGGACACGTGGGCACCCTACCGGTGACCTATGGCTGCATGCCAACAGAGAGGGCTCGGCGTGCCAGCGGTTCGCCATCGCTGTTGTAGAGCCTCCATATTGTTGGTGTATCTGAGTGCATAACAGAGCTCCATGGCAATAAAACTCCCACTAATGTGTCTTTAAATTACAATAAATGTTGTTAGAAATCAGTCTGTGTACATAAGATACATTGGGGTTTTTTTTTTTACTAGTAACAATTTATGCAACTAAATTATAATTTTACAACATGAAGATGCTTCACTTTCTTTTTTGATCGCTAACAGCGGGTGCCTCCACTGCACTGCGGCTGCCTGCATGCCCAGGGCCCATGTTGATAGGGTGGATATTCAATCCCAGTAACACAAATATATAACTCAGGTTTTAGAGCAAAAATGGCATCCATGGTGGTCACACCTGCCAACATTTCAAGTGGGCAAAAAGGGGCATTTGGCTGGCTGTGTGGCCAGGGTCTGAGCTGTTCTGAAAAATTATATGTGACTCTATAAACTGAAGATTATGCTAGCTTTAGTGTCCTAATAATCTTAATTTTAATAATGACAGGAGGAGAGTATTTTGCATTAACTTCCTTTACTACTCCATAACAGCAAAGAACATAGAAAAAGGCACTTCTTCTTTCTTTGCTGCTCCATCACAAGTCAGGTCAAAATATTGTGTGTCTCACATTGTCACTGGCTTGTCTTGTTATTAATGTGCTTTTTATTGCTTTGTGACAGTTATTTGATTTTAAGATTACTTCTATGGGGGTAGTTTTCTCCACATGTTTATTTTTTGGGGGGGCTTATACTGACTGTACTGACCCGTCTGGGTAGATTCCAGCCCTTCTGTGTCTACACTCGCCACTTTGGAGAGTCCTCGAAGCACGGAGCACCCACAACAGTGAGCGTAAAGTGCCTTTTAAGGTTTCCTGTCAGTTAGGTGTTTGCGCGCCACACATGTTCATGTAGCAACGTTCGCCTGTTCGGGCCGTTTCATCCGCCAAAAACGTACATTACATTTTATTTGGTTCACAGGTTTTTCCAGCGAACCTTATTGCAGATTTGCAGACTTTTCAATGGCCATCTTGGATTTTGCATGGCGAGAATCCGGGCGGCCATTTTAAACCTTCTGGGCTGGTCTGCAGAGTGGTTGTGCCGCCAGCCGATTTTGTCCACCAGGCCCCTGATATCCACGGACACAGCAATTCTACCCGGAAGTTGGCACACGTCAACAGTTCCAATACTCCCAAAGTTCAAACAGGGGCAGCGGCAGGGACGTATTAGCCGCGAGGCAAAAAAGGCATTTGCCTTGGGCGACATTTTTGCAAAAAACGCTGCCCCCAAATGCCCAGGGCAAATGCCTAGTTAGCCTCGCGGCTAACTGACATGCTGGGCTGGCGGGCGGCGCTGGCTGATGGTCGGGCGGCTGGCAAGGGAGCTCTTCCTCTGAGCTGTCTGCTCAGCTCCCTCGCGCGCCGCAGAGTGAGGCTGGGAGCCAGGTTGATGACGTCATATTCCGGCTCCCAGCCTCACTCTGTGGCGCGCGAGGGAGCTGAACAGTCAGCTCAGAGGAAGTGCTCCCTCGCCAGCCGCCTGCCCAGCGCCGCCCGCCAGCCCATCAGCCCGACCGGCAGCCACTGGACCACCAGGGAGAAAGAGGAACCCGCCCCCAAGCATTCCCAAAGGTAAGGAGGCTGGTGGGGGGGTTAAATAAAAAAATAAAAAAGTGTTAATGTGAGTGATTGTGTGTGTGTGTGTCTGACTGTGTGTGTGTGTGTGTGTTTGTGTCTGACTGTGTGTGTGTGTGTGTGTGTGTGTCTGACTCTGTGTGTGTGTTTGTGTCTGACTGTGTGTTTGTGTCTGACTGTGTGTGTGTGTTTGTGTCTGACTGTGTGTGTGTCTGACTGTGTGTGTGTTTGTGTCTGACTGTGTGTGTGTGTGTCTGTCTGTGTGTGTCTGTGTCTGACTGTGTGTGTTTGTGTGTTTGTGTCTGACTGTGTGTGTGTGTTTGTGTCTGACTGTGTGTGTTTGTGTCTGACTGTGTGTGTGTCTGACTGTGTCTGACTGTGTGTGTGTGTGTCTGACTGTATATGTGTGTGTGTAATTAGAAGGTGGGGCGGGGGGGAAGGGTTGGGTGAGGGTGGCATGGGGGGAGGGGGTGCCTGAGTTTTGTCCTGCCTAGGGCAGCACAAAACCAGGATACACCACTGGGCAGCGGTGGACGTGCTCGTGGACACTTAATGACAGGTAAGACACCGTTACTTAACCATAATACCTTCTGTCTTAACTATGGCACCCCCAGCGGGTCGCCTTTCGTATTTTTTTCCAGAACTATTTACTGGTGCATTGGTTCTACAGACAGTGCAAGGCTACCGCATAGAGTTCAAAGTCACTCCGATCCAAGCCTCACCACCACGTCCGCTCTACTTCACAAGGCCGGACGCCAGGCTTATAGATCTCAAACTAATGGATCTACGTAAAAAAGGGGCCATAAGACCGGCTATGTCTCCGGGAGGATTCTTCAGCAATACGGTCCTCGTGGAGAAAAAGATGGGAGAGTAATCAATCTGCGGGATTTAAATATACACATCACTTACCATCATTTCAAGATGGAAGGTATCAATATCGTCTCCGAGTAGGAGACTGGTTCACCCGCCTGGATATCAAGGACGCATACCTATCCGTCCCAGAACACGATGAAAGTTGTCAGTTTCTGAGGTATCTAAGGAAAGGACCACCTTGACAATTCACTTGCCTTCCATTCGGGCTTAGCTCTGCACCATGGTGCTTTACGAAGGTTGTGAAACCAGTAATGGCCCACCTTCGGGGACCTGGTATCAGATGTATACTATATCTAGATGATATAATTCTATTTGGACAAATACGACAATTGATGTCACAGACAGCATATACAGTACAGGTGTTCGAATCCCTGGGATTCATCGTAAACTGCACAAAGTCAGCAATGACTCCAGCACAATGTGTACAATTTTTGGGCTTCAATTGGGGGGCCACCATTGGACAATAAGCCACAGTTGGGGTATGGATGACGGAAGAACTCGCTCTCCATATCAATTGCCTGGAATCACTGGCAGGCGCCGTCACGATTCCAAGCCTGACGAAAGGAAAAACCGATTGCTGTATTTTACTGCACATGGACAACGCCTGTGGTTCGTTACATCAACAATCTAGGAGGCACTCGCTCCCAAACACTGGCGGATCTCGCAAAGGAAATCTTTGAGTATTGTCTTCCGCGCAACATAACACTGATGGTAGTTGGCGGTTGATGCGAGACGCAAAAAGGTCTACCTCGAATGGACCTCTCCTTACTTTTAGCTCCTCAAATATGTGTGGATCCAGTTGCCAGTCACTGCTGTCTCGCCAGTGCCAGGAGAATCAGTCCGCAGTCAGATTGGTATCCCATGGTAGGTGTTCTGCCATCAGTGTTATGTTGTTAGACAATACTCGAAGATTTCCGTTGTAAGATCCGCTAGTGTTTAGGAATGAGTGCCTCCTAGATGGTTGATGTAACAAACCGCAGAGACGTTGTCCATGCGCAGTAAAATACAGCAATTGTTTTTTTCTTTCATCGGGCTCTGTATCGCGAAGGCGTCTGCCAGCAATTCCAGGCAATTGATATGGAGAGCGAGTTCTTCCTTCGAACTCTCTGGGTCCGGTAGCGAACTGTAGAATGTTGGTAGTTGGCGGTTGGTGCGAGACGCAAAAAGGTCTACCCTGAATGGACCTCTCCTTACGTCTCCTGGTAGGTGTTCTGCCAACATTCTACAGTTGGACCCAGAGAGTTCAGTAGTGGATGCATTCCTACAGAATTGGCCGACCAGAGGCGCATACGCCCTCCCGCCCTTTGCTATGATCACAAGAGTACTGCATCATGTAAAGATTCTCCTGTTGACCCCTCTATGGCCGAGTCAACCATGGTTTTCTGGACTTTCTAGTTCTATCATGCGAGGACCCTCTCCTCCTACCATACACATCCGATGTTCCAAGACGGACGCCTATCTTTGGTAGCCTGGACTCTTTCAGGGGCTCATGGTGCACCAAGGAATTATCGGCAGAGGCTAAAGACTTCCTCTGGGAGTCATTAGCTACAGGAACTAGGAAATGTTACCTCTCAGCTTTACACTCATGGTCTAATTGGTGTGTGGGACGGAACCTTGATCCCTTTACGGCCTCTGTTCCCTCCATGTTGAATTTTCTGGCATGGCTGTTTGCGGAAGGTAAGTCTTACTGTTTGATTAATGTTGTTCGTTCAGCTATATCATCAACTCATACTCTAGTCCAAGGAAAACCCATTGGTCAGGATCCTCTGATCTGTCACCAACTTCAGGGCATCAGACTACGAAGACCACCAGCACCAAAATACTCTGGGATGTAGCCCAGATTCTCCGATAACTAAAGGAATGGCCTTCCAATGTTAACCTATCCCTCAGACAATTGTCGGCCAAATTGACTCTCCTCCTTTGTTTAGTCTCC